TGTGTTTGTGTTATTGATCGGCCATAGCTCACCATATCTTTATTGTTTTGCTCATTCGGTTGCGTCTTTGCTGAACTTGTAAACTCCGGACGTATGAGGATATTTGTGTACATGCTTTGTACCTTTATATCCGTGTGAAACGACCTTTCTCGCATATTACGGACTAGTGGCATTGTTCATGTCGTCATTATTTCAACGTTCACATAGTCCACACTCATCGCCATTAATCATCATCTTAAATTATACAATTAAGTTTTTAATTGTTTGTTTTATTTATTTCATATATTTTCTATTTTGTTCATAGCCGCTTTGTCGTTCATTCTAGTATGTAAGTTATCCCCCCCCTTTCCCTTTATTTTTTAAGAATTTTATTTTCAGAACAGTAAATATACATTCATATTTTGTATATACATAAACAAGTGTACCTATTTTCTAAACCCCTCATATTTTCCGTATTTTGTTTTTTACAAATAAACAACACCACCGCACAGTTACAGACAATCCCCTTTCAATATTAAGGGGCTTCTTGTTACAACCACACTTGTCCTTGACTATTCCTTTAAAATATTTACTTAATATTATCGCTACAGGGTTCTCCTCCTCTTTCAACATATCCTAAAGAAGGAGGGGTAATGAAACTTAACATAAACGAACTTGTAATAGATGGGGATGAAACCCGACGTAAACTAACTTGCCGCACTTCTATAGATTGTATACAATAAATCATTTTCTAAAAATTTTATCATCGACTACCAGACGATAAAGTAAGCGTATTTTCAATATCAAAGGTATTACTTAGTAATTAGAAATGATTATTATGATTTTTATTTAAGTGATCTATTACGGTAAAAATGTAAAAAAAAATCGAACTTTTCTGATAAATTTACTGTAAATAGTTATTATAAAATTTGCTGACTGCATATTAATCTTACACAATTTATATTTTTTTTATTTAATAATGTCAATTTTAAACTTGCAAGTTGAGCTAAAAGTTATGTTAATAAATTAATTTTTTTTTTTTTTATTAGAAACTTTTACTTTAAAGGACGAAATAAAGTAGGTTAAAAATTATTACTTTTAACATATTAAAAATGAAAATCAATAGTAATTTGAAAACAATTCAATATAACAATTATATAATATAAAATTTTATATTAAATATTTAAATCTAAGAATTACTAATCTGGATATAATTAAGGAAATAGTTGATGTTGCTTTTGGAATAATCCACCAATTTCTCTAAATGAAACATTATCTACAGATTTGCATCGAAGCGTTTCTTATGATAGTGATTTTAATCACTTTCAGATTAAATCTATACTGGACCCAACTATGCCACGTCCCCACTGTGCCACGATCGCACTGTGCTGGGTTTTTATTATTATTTTTTTTTTATTATTAATAGACGATCAAATAATCAAAAGTATTGTATTTTGTAAGAATTTATACATTGATTGTATCACTCACAAATTCGTTTGAAGTAAATAGTAAGTAAATAAAACTGATGAGGACGAAATTAAATGTATACTTGGCTTACTCATTCTATCAGTAGTAAATAGGTCAGGTCATAAAAATTTAAAAGATCTTTGGAGAACAAATGGTTTAGGAATAGATATTTTTTATTCAATAATGACGTTGAAACGATTTTTTTACTAATTACGTTGTATTCGTTTTGACGATTACAGAAATAAAGAAATTGATAACTTCGCAGTTTTTAGAGATATTTTTGAACTTTTTTGGCTAATTGTGAAAACAATTACACTGTATACGAATATACTACAATCGATGAACAGCTTGATGCATTCAGGGGTAGATGTCCATTTCGTATTTATAAAGGTTCAATTAAATGTGTTTAAATAATTAAACAGTGTTACCTCAATTATATTTTCAATATTTATTGACACTGAAACTATCCGTATCAAAATTGGCTCCCCAAAGTAGTATTTGAGGGGACTATTTTAGGATTTATTTCATTTGAAATGTTCGACAATGTGGATTTTTCAGGGGGTGTAGTTGTATTTTTTTTTTTCCAGAGAGTGCTCTCTTGAACTTAGTTCAATAGTGTGTGCAACTCCTTGGCATTGTTGCACACCGATCTCTTTTCCCCGAGAAAGTATATGCCGCGTCATTGGATTAGCTATCAGCTCTTTGTCAGTCGCAGACATTACTTCCTCGAGGTTGAGGTAGGGAAAATCCGTTAACGGTAAGGCAGCCCTTATATGCCGCAATGTTTGGTGACTGGTGAAAATTTTTTTCCGCGTTCGATAGAAGATGTGCTTTATAGTAGACGGTGCTCGACTGGATTAGCATGGGGGTGGTATACAGAGGTCATCCAACTTTCTGCTCCCCACGTGTTAAGGGCGTCGATCATTTCGTTTAAAAACAAGTTGGAGACCATTATCGCTGAGACATACTCATGGGTACCTAAAACGGGAGAAAAACTCGCGTTCTAACGTTTCAGTTACAGTTTTAATTGTTGGCGCACTTATAAGATAAGCTTCGACCCAACGGCTAAAACAGTCAGTAGCAACCAGTAGATATGTATTACCCCTACTTATTCTTAAATAGGGGCCCATTAAATCTATACTGATTACCTCTCACGGAATGCGTTACGGAATACTGTCGGACAATGCGTCTTCGGGACGCACATTCAGTGTTTTAGTACACGCACAAATATGACATGATTTCACGTACATACGGATCGTGTGCTTTAACCCCAGCTAATAAAACCGTTGTTTAATCGCCCTGTATGTTTCTTTCCAACCAGAGTGACAAGGAAGAGGGGTGTCATGATATTCCCATATCACGCGGTCTGCTTTAATGGGGGATATCACTACTAGCATGTCATTCTCTATACGTTTTCTAATCAACCCGTTAAGTAAAACGAATTCATTTTTCTTAATGTCGGCCTGTCTAGTATTACACCCTGGGTAATCTGAAGACAATTGTTCGATCAGTACTGTTAATTTAGAGTCCGCTGATTGCCATTCTTTTATTTCAGTCTCCGTAAACGGTAAGCTGTTTGGCTTATCTACTGCTTGGGTAGTAAAAGCTGAACAATCGAGGCGCTTTGATGGATTTCATCAAAAGTGTCTTCATTTACGGTAGGACCGGCGGCGGGGTGGCGTGACAACATGTTAAGTGAGCAGGAATATGTGTAGTGGTAAAATCTAAATTACCTAAATAGAGTGACCATCGGGTCAAATTAGAATTGTTGTCCTTGGCTTTGTGTAGCCAGGCAAGGGCTGAATTGTCTGTGAGCAATTCAAAGGGGTGGTATTCTAGATAAGGACAGAATTCGTCTGTCGCCTATATAATAGCGAGACACTCCATCTCCACCACTGCGTAGCGCTTTTGCGTCTCTGATAACTTTTTGCTAGCGTAAGCGATTATTCAACGAAGGTTGATCGCCCTTTTGAAATCACTCCGACACCTATCTCGCTAGCACCAGTTTGGAGGCAAAAAGGTTTTGAGTAGTCAAGAGGAGATAGTTTTGGCGAGTTGCACAGGGAAGTTTTTACTTTTTCGAAAAAAATCTATGCGGCTGTCGACCAAGACCATTTATTTCCTTGTTTTAGTAAATCATTTAAGGGGGATACGGTGTCAGCGTAGAGGTTGGTTGAGAACGAAAAGCACATTCGCGAATTAACTTGCTCTTCGTCATGTCAAAACTAGTTTTGCTGGTCATGTTAAGAGCGTAATTTAGTCGTACGAGTATATATATAGTTAGAACTAACTGAATATTTTTATTGTCGTTAATAAAATTTATTTTCTTCTAAGTTATAACGTCTATCGACAATATTATATTTCACTCAGATAAAATATTACTAAAATAGAGGGTTTTGGTTTACAGGAACAAACACATTATTTTATAAATATATTATTTACAAAAAAAATATTTAATTCTTAAGACTAAATTAAGAGAAATAATACATTAAACACATATTCCAGCTATTATCGTAATTCAAATGTGAAAGGTTACAAATATAAAAAAAAATCGAATTAATTGGCCGCAACGAAAAATTTGTAACTTTCATGGCGCATCGAAAAATTACAAGAAAAGGGTTCCCAACCTACTGGGCGAGACAGTGTATTGTCACACAGTAGGATTTAAAAAAAATTAACTTTTGTATATTAAAACAATTAAACAAAAATATAAAATTAATAAACATTAAAGTTGATGTCCGTTGAGTCGTTGATAGTAGATGTACACCAAAACCTCGTGACAGTTCTCACATAACCATATTGATCAGGAATGACCTTATACAAGGCCGTTGCCCGTACCTTATAAACTAGGGGAGTTGATTTTTGAAAGGAAAAAAAAATACACGAGTCTATTGAAGATGGAACACGTAAAAAAAAGAAAAATATGATGGTTCAGTTAAATTAAGGGGAATTTATTAAGAAAAAAAAAACAAAAAAATTAAGTTAACACGAGGCAAAAAACCGAACGGTCAAAAAACCTCGTCTACAATTAACGGGGATAAAGAGAGAAAAAGAAACAGGTATTAATAAAAAAAATAGTTGCACCTACACTTTTATTATTAGAGAATACGATGAACGTCTTCGGGTACCCATCGGCTATTAATCGCGGCATTGCCGCTAAGCACGGCGGGTATACGTCCCCAGTAAGCGACTGGTTTTAGGCAGTTAGACTTAGCTTGCAAGACGTTGGGACACCTCGGAATAAAATGCACTACGTCACCACATTGTACTAATAACCTATTCATCACCCAATATTGGATATTTTCCGACCAAACAGAAATTACACGGTATTAATAAATTAATAATCTCTAGTATTTACTTTAATGCAATCTATATGATGAGGTTGATAATTTCAATTTATGTGTTTTTCCCTAACTATTTTTTTCAATTTTAGTTTTATCGCTTTTAAATAGTTTTACTACATTTGAAATTCGTAAAAATTATTTTTTTTTTTTAATTATAAGAAAGGTGGATTGTTAAAGTACATTTTCTAATTGAAATATTGATGATTATTGATGAATACTAATTGATATCTGTAAATTAATTACCATTAATTAAATAAATAGTATTATTTAATTGTAATATTGAAATTAATATTAAACATAATAAAATCGTATTTTTATCGTTCAAAAAAAGAAAAAACTGTTATTTTTTGTTTCTTATATCATTCAAAATTTAAAGTTAATTCCTCTTGGTTTTTGGTGTATTTGTGTTTATGCTGTTCAAATAATTTGGTGAGTTCCTCTTTATATATTTTGTGATACTTATCTGTTTCTTCATTAGATGGATTTTCAATTTTTGGTAAATCAATTGGTTTTCCCACTGAAAATTAAAAAAATATTTAGTTTTATAATGAATAATCTAAAATAATCTAAAATTAGTTATTATCTTAACAATTTTAAACAAATTTGCCTTTAAGTCGAAAGCAATTTTTTCGTTAATCCACAGTTGTAGAAAAAGAAAACTATAGTATAATTTATATGATAATTGAAAAAATATGTTTTATTGGCTAAGTTCTAAACTTATTATCATATTTATAGAAATGGGGCACAATGAAATATTAAATCTTCAAAGTAATTTATTTCAAATAGTTTTTAAAACATCTAAATAATTTTTTTTTAACTAATGAAAATTGCAAAAATTGTTATTTTTTAATTTTTAGCTTTGGTGTGAAACTAAAAATGTATTATTTATAATACCAAATTCGTTTAATAAATTCGTTTGGGTCGAATTTTGCATTGTCAGATCATTAAATGACTTATATATTGACACCACAACAAAACAATGTAATATAGAAAGAAAATTATTAACGCAAAAGTTATCATTAGCTTCATATAATTTAACAGAATTCGCTTATGCCATGTATGAAACTCATGGTTGTATGACAATTTCTAATGGAGAAATATTCTACCGGATGAAATACAAACCAGTATTAGTTGAAATGGCTAAACTAGACACTTGTTTTAATGAATTAACAATGATTTATCAGAATCAAACTTTCTATATGGCATTAAAATCACACATTTTACAAAAATAATGAACTGAAATTACATGCAACAATAGATTACCTTCAGCATACTATTTCGATGAAGACTGGTTTTGGCCTAAATTCTCACTTAATTGACGTAAAAACACCTCAAATGTTCAAACCAGAAATAAAGTTCACATGGAATTACAAATCACTAGAATACCTCATGTCAGCCGGTATTTACAATAAAGATGTAATGCGAGCATTACAAAAATATCTAATGTTTGCTCAAGAAATTACAGCCATCCAAAGCAACATTGTGCGTCAAACATGCGGTTATGAAGTAACCAACCAATTAGATCTTCACACACTTATACTAGTATATCCTACACTTATAAGTACAATTATAGAAGATAAGTTATACAAAATGTGGTTTTGGCTTACATATTTTGATTCATTAATGTCCGGAATATTGGTCATTATATTCATAATCAAAATTTGTACACTTATTATAAACTCTTGCATGTACATTCATTTATTGTATAACACTCTATCCAATCTTCTCGCTTTTTGCTCTTCTGCTATACTTTAAATTTCTTTTTCTTACTTTCTATTATTTTTTGATCGTCCTCATCCCACCTTCAGGTTTCCTTGTTTCCTGGCATTCTACTCCTACTATCATCAACAATCTTCTTTGCAGTAGTCTTTACACAACTAACAAATCTACTTCACATATCATTTAAGTCACCCTCGACATTCTACACCGTCCTCTCTTTTACTGTCTTTACAAACTCTTTTTCATTTTCCCCTTTCAATTTTTACCACCGGATCTTCGATTTTTCCCTCCTGTTTCTTCTATTTTTGTAAATTCTCTTTCCAGTACACCACAACTCCATTACCATCAGTCCATTTTGTGTAGTTACACCTCGTCTGGTATAACTTTACAATGTTTTACTCGCTTAACTCTCTCTCTCTCTTCCACATAAAATAATCAATCTGTGATCTATTTTTCTCACTTTTATAAGTTATATAATGTTCTTCCATCTTCATAAAATAAGTAATAACCACAGCAAGGTCATACGATACTGCGAAATCCAGGATTCTTTCTTCAGCCTCATTCTTCCCATTAAAACCATACCCTCTATGTACTCTTTCATATCCTCTTGTCTCATTACCTACTTGTATTGTATAGGCACTTATTACATTCAGCACTTTTTCCTAGAATATCAATTTCACGAATTTTTTCTCATTTTCTCATCCATTATTATCCTTGCACCATTCTTTGTACTAGACTTCCATGAGTATATTATTTTATAATCCTCATTTTATTTCCCTTGATTTCTTTCAGTTCCACTTAGTTTCCTGTACACAACAAATGTTAACTTTTCTCCTCTTCAATACTTCTACTGATTCTCTACTCCTACCAGTTAATGTTCCAACATTCCTAGTACTTATTCTTTGTAACTATCTTTCTCTCTTATACACAAGTCCAGCCTAGAGTTAAGTGGTGATGTCCTTACACCATTCATACGACAAGCGTTGGGTAGACCTGTACACATGACCGGTGAAACATCTACCGCATAAGTTGTCCAACTGGTATTAAAGACTTCTTTTTATAGGTTTTCTCCATTTTTAACTACTTTATTCCTTCTCACATTGTTGTCCCCGCGTATATACGAGATGAAACAATTTGCCTAAGTTTTGTTCAGGACACCTCATACTATTTGACAAAAATTTTAATAAGACAATCTTTTCACACTAAATATGATATGTGTATAGAATTTTTCATGAAAATTGTTAATGTTCTAATGATCAGCTTTAATTAAAATAAAAACACAAACTATACATATTACTTATACTAATTAGAAAATTAGAATTTATTTATCATGAGTCCAGATTTATATTATACCAAGTATAAGGTCTATTATATTTACAAACTTGGTATTAATACCACGATAAGAAATTTGATAAAGCAATTATTACTAATCACTCTCATTCAAATGCGTAAGTAATTTTTCAAGGAAAAAATTACACACCTCCAAATTATAGTAACCATGAAAAGATGTTGTTTTCTTTTATTCTTTTCTCAACACGTATTTCAATTTTTAATATCTTAAATAATGCATGATAATTCAAATTTTCACAAACTTTAAAATTCTACAGAATATATACTACTGAATATTAATAAGATATTTTTTTACAAACGTTTTTCTTAAAATCTACTCTATAAAATAGATTTTTTTTTATATTTTATTTAAAATTTAAATATAATTTATATTTTTAATAAAATATCAAAAAATAAATTATTTAGATATTTAGTCTAATTATAGACCTAACTTATATCTATTATTAACTATTACAAAAAAATCAGCTTAAAATATTAACTGGATCAAAAGTTATTTAAGTTGTCAGTAAGTGCTGGTCATTTGTACATAATGTAAAGTACAATTAAAAACAATAAACTAATAAAGTTTTCTAAAAGCGCTGACAACAATACCCCTAGATTGGGGGCACTATTTTATTCTATAAAAGCACTGAAATCCTTTCAGAAGCCAGTTCGTCTCTGTCGAATTTCAATCTGGAACTACTTTCAGTCTATTTTGAACTAATTTGTTTATATATACAAAAATAATTCGTTTTATTTTATTATTTTAATTTTATGATAAGAAAAAAATTAGAATAAAGGCTTTATCTTATTGAAACATTTGTGAACAATTTAATTATACATTGAAAAGTTTGTCAAATTGTCTCTGATTTACAATTTATTGATGCAAAATTTTAAGTAATTACATTTATACTATCCCAATTATTAAGAATAAATAATCTGAGTGAAGAACGATAAAGCAATAGATCAATTCTATTTTTAGTAATTTTACTAATTTGTTCGTATTTTATACATATATACATTACAGGGTCTCGTGGGTCGTATTACCGCCTCGTTGCCTAAGTGTCCTATTAAAGGTGCTTACTAATTAATTAGTGTTTATTCCTCAACAAAAAATGTTATATCTACTTGTCTTTATTGTTCTAAACCCTAGGACTCATCAACTCCGATAGAACCTCGTTGTTTATGAATTAACCAAATCCCCAAATATCCATATATTGGTCAACACATACTCAATATAGTAGCTTAATTTTGAGTTACTACAAAATACTAAGCGTTGGTCATTGAGTTATTTCTATGGCATGCTTGACCAAGCCAATGTTAATTATTCTATATTCTTTGAAAGCTAATAATGTTTTGACAAAAAGGAACGAATTTATTTTCGATTTAGTTAGGGCATTAATAGGCGATCATTTGCGAAGTCGATTAACTACATTAGGTATACATACCAGTGTGAAAAAGGTAATTAAAGAATTTTTGATGAATAAACATCTTAAAAATACAAAATCCCAAAATAAACTATTGAACAACAAATTAGTTAATAGAGCACGCTGCTCATATTGTCCACGTAATTCAGAATAAAAAACATGGTTAAATTTAAAAAATGTCAACAACCAACGTGCGAAGATCATACAGCAAAAAAACTGCGTTGATTATAATAATTAAATGACAAGACTTTTGAACTTCTTAATTTGTATACTGTTTGATCAGTGACATACTTATATTGTAATACTATAAATTTGGTGATAACAAATCCTGTTATTGCATATCTTTGTTATACTTATCCCTTCTTCTTCTATTGGAATAAATACTCATTGTTGTAAAAAATTGTATACTACCATCTATTAACTTTATTCGTTTATATTTTCTTTAATATTGATCCTATATTGCGTCTTTTACCATTATTTTAAAATAAAACTTAAATTGTAGACATCATCTGAGTTTTTCCCGAAATTCACGAATTTAAAATTGCAAAACAATTATATTTTTTGAAAGAATATTCAATGAAACAATTTTTATTATTCAGTACAGGTATTATACTTTAACGTTTGGAGGAATTAGTTTTTAATTTAACCTTTGCATTGTAGTAATGATCCAAAGAAAAAAATCGGTTCTATGAGAGCTGAGAAAAAGTGCTAACAGACACAAAAAAAAACACATCATAGTAAAACCAATACCTTCTCAGCTTCGCATCAAAGCTAAAAATCATAAATAAGTATTAACACATATAAAAATAAAGGTTATTGGGTTTTCTTATTAGTAGAATGTCATATCGTCTAAGTTTAGACTCTAAACAACGAACCCGAATTTTGAGTCCTTCTAATGTGTTAGGCTACGCTGTAATGTGAGTTATTGTGCTGACGCGGGTCATCCTAACGTAATGCATAACGGCAGTCCTAGGATTGTCCACAACCATGCCGGTCGCGGAAAAAAAATTACATGTCGTATCATCAAGATGTGTAATTAATATGTCAAAAATTAATTATATAATTACTGTAGAATTTTATTTACCCAAATGTTTCAATTCAAATATTATTAATTTTCAATATTTTTTGAGACAATGATAATTTACCTAAATTCAAGTATGTAGAAGACGGGATTAATTATTATAATTTATATTGAATTTATATAATACGATTTTATCTACATTTTTTCCTTTAACATTAATAATAAATATTTTTACAACAAGTGTGGGTTTTGTTGAATTTTCAGGGCGATATTTAGTTTTCTTCTTACTTTAGAAATATTTAAAAGCAGTAATACACATTGTTTTTATGAATTTTCAATAGGGCTAATTCCTTATTACCGTATAAAAATAACACAAATTTAAAAAGTACCAGAAGTGTAATGAAGTATAAACTCAATTAATTAAAAAATATTAGAATACATTTCAAAGAAGGTTACAGATTTTAAAAGTCTGGTTAGCTGTATTATTCAATACATCAAATTAAAGTTAAGAATAACATCTACATTTCTAAAATGTATCATCTCTCAATGGCTAACATGTCTTTGATAATCTATATTTTTCCAAAACTTTTTTTGACGTGAAAAAATAAGTACTTATACGTAAAGTGTTCCCGCTTATCTTCGGCAAATTGTTATCTTTGTTAAAATTAAACAAATATTTTATTTTTATTTTTATCCTTAAAGGGACGAAAACAAATTTCTTTCTTTCTATACATTGTAATTTTTTGAACCTTTTACTTTTTTCTTTACAAAAATTTAAAATTCTCAATGGTTTCTGAGAAAATGAGTTTCTTATTAGATTTTAATCATACTATGAATAAATATTTATAAAAATTATTTCATAACATACCAACTGATATAATTGGATGTCTATGTGGCATGAAACTTAATCTGATACCAAAAAGTGAACGTCCTTGTGGTATAACTCTGTCGCCTTTCCATCCGATCAGTTTCAGAAATTTATATAAAAATGAATCGGTCTCTAAAACTTGTTTCTTGTAAACATTGTTCTCACCAAATGAAAACACTGGAACTAGAGATGCTCTGTATTTAATAAAATAAATACATTTTATCAAATTTAAAAATTATGTAGAATTTAAAATGATTGTAAAATCATAGGTTAGAGTAATAAAAAATAACAAATATGAGTATGTATATATTAATTTTAGAGAATTTTTACATTTTGGTTGGGATAAAACTATATTATTGTTTGGTATGCCTTAGCCATAAACTCACCCAGTTTTTAAAGCTATTCGAACAAATCCTTTCCTATTATTTATAACTATGGTTATAGGTCCAGGATAAGATTTGAATGCTTCAACAACTCCTCCTACTAGTAAAACTGATGCGTTACCTTTTTTTCCATTTAGAATTTTGGATATAGTTCGTTCGGAGGAATCTCGCAATCCTTAACGTACAAAATAAGGAGATCAAGTTAGATATTATTTGTTATTATAAACTTACTTACCATGACTCATTAAAACTTCTCGATGGAAAGGAATACAAAAATGCACTCCTAATACATGTAAGTAAGTATTTATACCTGGAAATATCTTACGAAAAGGTCCCACACAAGTTATTAAATTAGAAAATTGCCCCCAACCAAGTAAACCATGAGGATGTACTACAAATAAATATGTCTTGTCAGCTGGCAAGTCGTAAGTTTTAACTAACATCATTGGAAAGTAATCTTTAAAATGTTTCCATATTAAGCAATATCGAACAAAGTTAAATCTGTGAAAAAGTACAATTATAAGTGGAATTGATTTTTACCAAACGTACATCTAAGATGGTTATTCTGTAGTGTGGCTGAGGCATGCGACATTCCCTATTGAAAAATGTCAAGTTCCAATCGATATTTTTTTTGTTTTTAAAAGTGAAGTGGTGATTATAAAATGAAAATTATAAATATTAAAATCTTAAAAACTATGATTACAGGTTTATATTTTATAACTCCTAACGTATACGTATGAACAAAACACTTCAAACAATATCTAAAATAAATAAATATAACACAACATTCAAACCAACAACAAATATTTCAATTAGTTTGGGACTTATGAGCATTATAATAGGTCGATAAGAAGAGGAACGTGGCAGAGTTATGTGTAATGATAAAAATAACATAACCCGCTCCTCAAACGATACTAAAATATTTTAGCAACTTTTGAAATACTGGTTCAAAATAATTATATAAAATAATTAACTTTCATCAGAAGCAAAAATATTTAACCTATATCGTGCCTAGAGGCATAAAGCTTATGAGTCATAGTATGAAAATATGGGAAAAGGTAATAGATAAGTGAGTAAGAAATGAGACATCGGTATTTAAAAACCAGTTTGGATTTATGCATGGTAAGTCAACAATGGAGCCAGTATTTTGTGTGAGACAACTAATAAAATACATTAGGGATATGAAGAAAAAGCTGTGTATGGTATTTATTGATTGGTAGAAAGTGTATGATAGAGTACCGAGAGAGGTTTTAAGGTGGGCATTAATGAGAAAAGTAGTCCCTAAAAAGTACATTAATATAATAGAAGATATGTAAGATGGCACTTGTACCAGGGTAAAAAGCGAAGGAGGAATATCAGAAGGTTTTCGGGTAAGAGTAGGAGTGCACCAAAGTTCTGCTTTAAGCCCTTACTTATTTTCTATAGTGAGGAATGAAATTACTAGAGAAATGATAAACTGGTTTTCCTCGTACCTTAATGATAGAAAACAAATAGTTAAAATAGAAGAATCATCGTCCTCTATTATTCTTGCAACATCTGGAGTTCCACAAGGTGGGCATTTATCTCCTCTTCTATTTATAATTTTTATTAATAATCTTTGTAACGTATTTAATCATTGTAAGTATTTATTATTTGCAGATGACTTAAATATATATGCTCAAATTCAATCACTAAGTGATTATTATAAATTACAATCTGAATTAGATAAATTTTATGAATGGTCAATAAAAAATAAATTACAGATAAATGTTAATAAATGCTAACAAATAACATTCACAAGATCTAAATCTTTTATTCATAACCCATATGTAATTGATGGTTGCTATCTTAGTGTAGTTAACCATGTGAAAGACTTAGGTGTTTTCTTATCTAGCGACTTATCAATCTCAAAACACATTACATATATTTGTAATAAAGCATCTAAGACAATAGGATTTTTAAAACGTAATTGCAGTGAATTTCAAAATATAACAAGTTTGAAAACCTTATATATTTCACTAGTACGGTCTATTTTGGAATATGGGTCTATTATATGATCACCATATGTGCAGAATGATATAAATAAGATTGAGTCCATTAAGCATCGTTTTTTAAACTTAATCTCTTATAAAATTAAAAATAATGAAATTAAACATAAAAAGTTACTTGAAAATCTAAAAATGCATCCTCTTTTGTGTAGAAGAAATTGTCTAGATTTTATATGGATTTATAATCTACTAAATAATCAAATCAATTGTCCAGAAATTTTAAATTTAATACCGATAAACATTCCTCAAGTATCTTTCCGTTTCTCATACACAAAATTATAGTAGAAACGCTCTGGTAAATTGAATGTTGAATTTATGTAATAAAATAAATAATTTTGATTTTTATCACGATTCTTCAACATCATTATAGTCTATTTGTTCTAAAAGTTTTAATTCAACAATACCATAATTACATACACTTTTTTAGCCAACTTGTTGGCTAAAAATTGTAACTTATTTTATTGTAAATTGTAACTTATTTAGTATTATTGAATTTTTATAATCATTTAATTATTAAGTTAATTTCACTATGTACTATTTTATATTGTATTTGTTTTTTGTCTATGTTATTATCTGTACTATTTGCCTCACAGGCGTAACCATCCATTATGATGAAATAAATAAATAAATACATGGTGAGGTGCCCTGGTGCATGTTGTTTGCTGACGATATAGTATTAATAGGAGAAAATTAATCAAAGGCTAGAATTGTGGAGATCATGAGAACATGAGGTTGGTGAAATGAGGAGATCAGTGATAATAGGCGAGGACGTCATTGGAGAGGTGGAAAGTTTTAAGTATTTAGGGTCAGTTGTGCAAAAGAGCGGTGGTATTGACGAGGATGTAAAACACATGATTAAGTGCAGGTGGTTGAAGTGGAGAGAAGCGTCTGGCGTCTTATGCGATAAAAGAATTCCAATGAGGCTCTACGGCAAATTCTACAAGACTGTAGACTGTAAACTAGTCTGCAATTAATATTACAATCANCGATGCCAACTATGACATATGGTTCAGAGTGTTGGACGGTTGATAAGAAAGTAGAGCAGAGATGAGAATGCTTAGATGGATGTGTGGAGTAACTAGAAAAGATAGAATGAAGAACGAGCATATAAGAAAGAGTATAGGTGTAGAGTTAATCGTAGATAAGATGAGAGAATATAGACTTTGATGGTTTGGTTATGTTACGAGGAGAGAAGTTTCACGGTTCATAACGCGTTGTTACGAACACCGTTGCAAAAGATTAAGGGGGCTTTTACTAGGAGACAGTTATCTTGATCACGTTTGATAACACGATGGTTATTGATCACCGTTGAAGATTAAACTAACTTTTTAAGTAAAGAATTTTAATACATACAATTTTGATCACGAATGGTTATGCGTTGTTACAAACACCGTTGAAAATCCTATATATTAAATATTAAGATATAAGGAGAGAAATAAAGAAACTTACTTGGTGAAGCGGTGTATGCACGTAAACTAGTCTGCAATTAATATTACAATCACTAGCATTACATAAAGCTACACTACAGCTACAAAAAGTTAATTTTTGTAAAAAAGTAATAATTTTGAAACCCTTCCTGTGGGCTGGTAAAGGGTCAAATGTTCACAAAAATAAAAAAATGATAGGTAAATACTTTATGTAACTAAAAAAATATATATAATATATATAATTATTCGGTTATTTTTAAAAAAGTTATGGCAATTTTAAGTAAAAAAAATTGAAAAAATGTCGAAAATTAGCGATTTTTAAATTTATAATTTTTTGGGGGATTTGCCCTGTTTACGGGAAACGAGGGAGTTTTTTTTCAAATTTTGAGGGCATTGTCTTCAACTAGATACAATTTATAATTTTTTGACATATTTTTCATCAAAATCGGTCCAGCGAGAGCTGAGATTGAGTGTATACAGACACAAAAAAAAAAAATAAATAAAAAAAAAAACACATTAAAGTAAAATTAATACCTTCTCAGCTTCACATCGAAGCTAAAAATTAAGTCGATAATATTATAAGAGATGAACCTAAATAAAATGTACACCACTGATAACCTCAAAAGTAAGGAACAAATGCATTTTACCACCCCATCGAGTTTTTTCATTTTTTTTTTTTTTAACGTGTATTTTTCAATGCTTTTTTCAGAAGTGTTTGAAAAAATTGTCGGAAAAAATTGGTTCAAAAGTTATAGCTTTTTAAAGTTGAAACGTCAAAAACTAAAAATAGCTCAAAAATTGTTTTTTTTTTTGTTAATTTTTGGGATTTTTTCTCATTATACTATTGTGAAACTATAATGACGTAATTATTACATAATATCCTCATTCTAAAAATCCTAAAACCAAAATTATCTTTAAAAATAAGGATTTTCCAAATTTTTTTTTCAAAACTACGCACATCAAATTTACGCAATACGAAATAAAAATAACAAGAAACTCAATTAATTCAATTTGAGCAAAAAAAAAAAAAAAGACCACGATGTGGTGTTTTACATAGAATTGTTAATTCAATAAAATAAAAGTTTTTACTGTTTATTATGTACACCAATTAACACTTGTTGTAAACAAAAAAAAAATACTATTACATTAGATATTGTTGATATTAGTTAAGTTGTTGAGGTATCAAAATATACTTACTAATATCTTAATGTTATAATGTTGAGTTATACAAACCCATTTAAATATAAGTTGTGGTCACCTACGCCTGCCGGCTCCGGTGACCGATTCGAGCCCCTTCGGGACTCTCATGGGATGGGGGCTCACGCCCCCAAACCCCCAGAGGATAGAAGTCAAGCCCAAACCCAACCTATTTAAACCCATTCGACTGAAATTCTCAGTGACCCAACAAGTATAAAACCTTGATGTTAAAATGGTGATATAATATTGAAAAAATAGATAAAAAAAAATTAAATTTATTTACTTCAACACTACCTTAACACGTTTAATGTACTCATAAATACTCTTAAATTTACTATTCCTCGGTAACTACATCATCGAGAATACTTTTTATAGTTAATTAATGAAAATTATCAAAAAAAAACAGCAGTATATAACAAAATTTGTATATGATTATTGAAATCTTTGAAAGCTCATAACTTTTAAACTAGACTTCGCCGACAAAAAATTTTTATATATTCTTAGTCGGTATAAAAAACTAAATTGATTAAAAAAAAAAAAATTGAAAAATCTCGATGGGGTGGTAAAATGCATTTAAGCCAAAAGTAAATAGTACTTTAATAAGCCAAAAAAAATTCCTTAGAGTTATAATTATTTTAGAAAAAAAATTAGTAATCAAAGATAAATCAATCACTCCGTGTTATTATAATTATGGTTATAACAAACTATAAAAACAACGAATTAAAAAAAGTATAATAAAATAATTAGATATGATTACCTCAACTTTTCAGGACACGTATATTTGTTTTCATACAGAATCCATCCAATGTACAATGGACTAACCCAGAAAAATTGTGGCGCATAATAGCAAGTAAAAAATACTACGAGTGCAGTTTCTAAAAATCCACAAAATAGAAATAAGTATACAGCTATTGCTGCTGATATGTTTTCGATTCCTCGTTTGAAAATTGAAGTTAGAAATAATGAATTCATTCTGTTAAAAAATGTATATTATTTTTAATAATGATAAAATATAAATAATCAATTTATTATCTATACACTACTAAAACACTTTATTTATAATATTACATTAATGTATACTGTACTATTTTAAAAGTGATACTTTAAAACTTCAAAACATGTACATTAATTTGAACAAACTAAATAAATTTTAATTGTTCATGTGACTTTCCGTACTCAATATTAAATAACTATAGTATGTTTTTAAATAAATAATTAAGTATTATGACACTATGAGTAGACTAAAGAATAAAAATTTAATCATATATTCACTCAGTATAAATAATCAATTTCCATGTTTTATATCTTTCAGTACTTGTTTATTTTTTAATTGAAATTGTAATAAATGAATGTTAATAAATAAATAAATGTTCAATGAATATATTACACAAATAATCAGCATGAAGTATTTATAATTTTCAATATTTATGACACTGTCACGTAGATTAATAACAATGATCAACAAACACTTGGTTGTCGGTTATTTAACCAATTTTGAATCTGGCCTTAGATTTTTCACACTAGCTGTAGTTTGTGAGATAGTTACTAATTTTTTAAAAATATTTTAAGGATATTGTAAAAAACTTAAAGTTAATAATACCTAAAATATATGGCGCTGACTAGGTATATTGGCACTGACAATAATAGAATTAAAATGAAAGGATTTTGGGGTATGCGTACGTACAGAAATACGTCTGATTATGTCAGTATAGGATAATAGAGCAACGTAAAGGTTACTATTTGGCTTTTACATAATTTATATAGGAGTTATGTAAGTAAGGAAACGAGTTGCTATTGTTCTCATTGTTTGTAACAATTACCTGTTTCCTTGCATACTGAACATTGTGTATACACGAATATGTATATATCGTATTGAATATAACTTTTTTTATACAACTATTTATTTATTTTAAACAACTATTTAGTCACTTAATTTCTGACAACCTGCCTTACTTGAATCGTTTATTAAGCCGGTCCCATACGGCTCGTGTACTTGGCGAGCATTGTAATTGTGAATGCTCATTGAGTAATTTTACTTGACGATTAGTCGTTTCCATATGAATCATGTATTCACCGATTATTTGGTAATCGTGTGTACTTTCCATTAAAATATACCTAACTTCTTAAGTTACGGGTTATTCAGAAAAGAACAATAAAATGGACAGAACTTATTAATTCAACATGATATTGACGACGAGAAGACTGTGGTAAGTACCACAATTACGGTAATGTATGTTGCATACAATATAAGAATTAAACATTTTTGATGGATTTGAATTTGGAGTTGGTTGATTTGTATATAAATTTTCTGATCAAAACGAAGAGAACGATGCTGGTAATTTGCATAAAGATGATGGCGATACAATCGAATACAATCGAGACAAAGCATTATTAAAATTAAAAGGTAACATGTTATGAACTGATGGATAGATTTGTCGAATCTGTATCGGTGATAAATATGCTTATATAGTTCGGTATAATGTTCCACATTTTGAAAAATAAATTAGTCGATATCATGCATTAATATTACGCGAATAGAATTATCGTAACTCATACTATCCTTAACTTTATGTGATAAAGATCTATAAGTCGCCATAAGAGATCCTTTTTTTTTTTTTTGATATCAGATACAAAACACTCGACGCTCATTTGTTCTCTAATTCTATTTATATAAAAAATTACGAAGAACTTTTTTTTACAATATTTTTTTTCCAATATTTTTTTTCCGATCAAACGTCTAACGATTTGGATGTTAAGTAAAAATTCACCATTGATTTGGTTTTATTATAACGGTGGCATTGTAACCGGTATTATTGATGCTACATCGTGGCTGCAATAATCTGTTATGATAGCTTATAAATTATTTATTATATGGTAGTTACCAAGAAAAATTTTCTACATAAGCGTATCGTTAATAATATATATTTTATACTTTTTTTTGCGACAGTAAAGAAATATAATGACTTCTATATCAAAACAGTAAAATATTAATAGAAAATATGACATTAAATTGCTTAATTTTAACATGCTTTAAAAGACAAACGGTTGATTGAAAAAAAATTTATAGCAACAAATTTGTTTGTAATTTTTTTTCCATGAAATATTATTAAGATAAAAATGAGGGCTCGCATTTAAAAAAATCATAAATAAAGATTTTTATTTCTGAAGGGACGAAAAATAATGATTAAACTACATATTATTGTAGATATTTTAAACCTGATATTGTTTCTCTTTAAACAATTTTTAATTCTCAATAGTTTCTGAGAAAATGAGTGTCATACCAGATTTCGAACATATATATATATACTTTAATAAAAGATTATTACAGTCAAATTCAATACATTAAATATAAATTGGTTATATATATATAACATGCTGTTTTTATGTTAAATTTTTCGATTTTATATTTTCATCTTTAAATTGCTTTAATTTTTTGAAAAATGAATGGATCAACACAAAATTTTGTTTCTAAATACCTTTTCATTTGACATACCTTTTTTATAAATTGGGCAATTTCCCTTTATATAGGGAGCGTTAAAAACTTGAAACATACGTATAAAAATTAGAATTTTTTCAAATTAACTTTTGAAAATGGTTCCGAAATATCGCGTTCTTTAAACACATGTTAAATTAAAGCATATTATTACTTTTATATTATATTATTAATTATTACTTTTTATTTTATTATATCAAATTGCTAGGTGCAACCTTAATAACTTTTAATAGCAGTGAGATAGACTTTGAAAGATATGCCAAAGATTGGTTTCGACACACAGCCCAGCGATCAAATGAGGAAAAATTATAATTCCTCATTCTACTTTTTTTTGACACGTCAATTTTATGATTTATTTAAAGCAATCAATTAATTTTATGTTTTTATTTTTATAACTTTTCATTATAAGTATAAATATTTAGTAATTTTTTCTTTATAAGCAATTATAATATATATAATTATTTCAGTAAAATATTAAATGTTCTACTTAAATAATAGTGTAGTTCTTTAATTTTTTTTTTTTTAAGTTCACTTGATTTTTATAACCAATGAGTTTTATATTTCTATTTTATTTATTAATCTTTTAATATTAAAAACTTTTTAATAGGTCTAATTACATATTTATAAACAATGAAAAATCATTGTCCACTCTTAGTATGATATATTGTTAATATTGTAAAAACAAAGGAATAACCCTTAATTTTAATTGAATTAGTTATTATAAAAAAATTATTATAATGGTAGTCATATCATCTTTCCTTCTTCTTCTATATAAGTTTATTTAATAAATATGCTACATTTTTAATTGGTCATATCACAGAAACTTATTCGGTGATATGTGTAAGAAGTATTATGCATTCTTTTACTCTCACTCTCAACGTAACGTAACATAGAGCTCATTTATAATCATCTTATACCAAAATTACACAGGATGGAATATTAACGGTTTCCAGTGATCTCTGCGTTAGGTTGGGTTGGGTAGGATAAATTTACAACTTCACGTTTCTCATAGTAATGTTTATATTACTTCTCTAAGTTTTTCATATTGGGAATATTTGTATCTAATATGAGTGACATTATCTATTTCCAACATTGGTTGTAAGGCTTTCCTTAAAAAAAATTTGCATATGCCACTGAGGAAGACCTCAAATATTAACCTCAAAACCTTATTAAGCAAAAAATGTTAGATTTTTTCACGTGAATAAAAAATAATTCAGTATCTTTATGCAATTTTTAAAATTTACGTACATTTTAGTCATGTTATTTTATGTTGTCATTTATATTTTTGTCATCATAATAATTTATTATTGTATTATTAGGACTATTCTATTTTTGTTACGTGTTTTACTTATTCAGTTTTGTAATTATTATTATTATTTTTATTATTTGTTTATCTGTTAAACAAAAAAATGAGTATTCATAAACATTTAGTTATATATAAAAAAAAAGTAAAGAAATAATAAATCGAAAGTTTTATTTACAAATTTCTTTTTGTAATCTTGAAATACAATACTTTTTTTTTTTTTATAAATTTAACATTTGTTATATACGTTAATGTGTATGTATTAATTAACTAAATTGTTCTACGAAGATTAATAATGAATACAATCATAATGATTATTGATAACAGTTTCATTTATGATATGTTTTACGTAAAATATAAAAATATCGGTTACACATTTTCTAATCTAGTGTTAGTTTTATTTAACAGAGTAAACATGTGTGATTAATTAAACTCGTGATTATTATGAATTGAATTTTATTTTCATTCTAACATGAGATATAAATCTTCAGGATTTTTAGTGTACTTATGTTTATTTTCTTCAAACAGCTTAATTAGTTCCTGAATATAAATTTCATGATATTTTTCTATATCTTCTTCTGAAGGATTCTGAATTTTCGGTAAATTAATCGGTTTACCAACTAAAAATAACAAATTACATTATATAATGAAACAAATTAACACTTCTGACGTTTGCTTTTTAACTTTTTATAATATCGACTCAATTTCAAATTTTATAATACTAACTTATATATCTTGATAATATTCGTTTATATTTTTATAAAAATCTGTACATTTATTCATTTTATTATTCGATAAATGTATTATTTGTACAAACCACTAATGAGTCACAAAGTAGTCTGATATATTTTTGTTCCCAAGTTTGTATTGGATAATCCTTCAACTATCAGGTGATATCTTTAAAAGTATAAAATAAAACTATTTTTTTCTATTAAGTATTTAGAGGAATCTTTTACACAAAAAAATATTTCTACCGCACTATTATCTCTTCAAAATTGTATAATTTTTAATTTTTTATAAGTGGAAATAAGTGTTAGTGAAAAAAGTGGTTAAAAAATAAGAAAATGATTCAACAAAAAACTAATGGTCGAAACATCTTTTAACTCAGTATTTCGGAAGTTATTGACACTTAAAACTAATGGATGTAGGTGAAGTACATATTATATTCATATATAAAACACTCATTTTTTTTTTAAATATTGGTAGTTTTATATTTTTGTAAAAAGAAAAAATATTAGGTTCAATAAACTTTACAATAATATATGGTTAAAATACTTTTTTCATTTCACAGTGTATAAAGAAACATCAAATTTAATTTTCTTAACTTGCAACCACTATTGTAATATAATATTACAATAAAACAAAATTACAAACAATTTTATTTATCTAATAGACCAGCACTAATCTGATACAAGCATTTTAATACTTAGTATAGGTAATTGTAACAACATAGTTGTTTCTCATTTTTAGCATCGATGCAAAGTTAAGAATTAATTTTACTATGATGTGTTTCTTTTTTTTTTTTGTGTCTATTACCACATTTTCTCAGCTATCACCGAACGGATTTCTTTCAACGATACGTCAAAAGATCACAAATCGTATCTAGTCGAAGACTTTACCCTCAAAATTTTAAAAATTTCCATCGTTCCTCTTAAATGGGGGAAATCTCCAAAAAAATTACAAATTTAAAAATCGCTAAATTTTGAAATTTTTTCAATTTTTTTACTAAAAACTGCCATAACTTTTTCAAAAATGAACATATCAATATAATTTTTTTTTTATAGATGTTTGATGTCTTTATATATCATTTGATATATTTTTTTTGTAAATGTGACCCTTTATCTGCCCACAGGAGAGGATTTAAAAAGACAACTTTTTCACAAAAAATTAACTTTTTCAACTAAACTTTTGAAAAATGTTCCGGAAGGTATGACAGTTTTATATATATCTTAAATTAAAGTTAATGTAATATACTTAAATTTGAAAAAAAAAAATTTGATTTCTGGGTTTGTCTTCATGGTGAAAATGGCTACCGAATGTTATTTTTGTTTGAAAATTCTGGATTTTATTTTTTACATTTTTAACTTTATAATACTATAACTTATTGAAAAGTGTATAGATCAACACAATTTTTTTATGGGAAATAATATTTTTTAATAATCCCTCTTTCATTTGACATACTTTATCTTAATCAGGATATTAATAAGGAACTAGGAGATCATGTAGCTTTTGGAATAATCCATTAATTTTTTAAAATTAAACACCGTCTAAAGATTTGCATCGAAGCGTTTTTTTTTATAGTGATTTGAATCACAGTCAGATATCATTATACTTGATCCAACTATGTCATGTCACCACTGTGCCGCGACACCCCTGTGCTGGTTTTTTTTTTAAAAATTTATTTTTTTGTTTATGTCTGTGATTTGTGACTCAGCTCTCACCGAACCGATTTCTTTCAACAGTACGTCAAAAGAACATAAATCAATTCTAGTCAAAGACAGTACCCTCATAAAATGAAAAAATTTCCTTCATTTTCTGTAAATGTGGGAAATCACCAAAAAAATTACAAATTTAAAAACCACTATTTTTCGACAATTTTTCAATTTTTTTCTCTTAAAACTGCTATAACTCTTTGAAAAATGCTACCTTGCATACCATTTAGCTACCTATTATTGTAGAGTTTACTGAACCTCAAACTTTTTTATTTTGACAAAGATTAAAAGTTATTAGTAGTGTTTTGAGAAAATGAGTGTCTTGCTAGACTAAAATCACTCTGTATTACTGTCAATATCCAGCTACACAACCTGAGCTATTTGAGTTTATTTATAGGTATCACTGCAAATGTATAATGGATAATCAATTAATTCTTCTCTTTTAAAAAGAGAGTTAAAAAACAATACAAAACATGTATAATAATAAAATTCTAAATTGCATTATATGTAATTTAAAATTTGTATGTCTATTGGAACATAATAAAATAAGATAATAGAAGGATGGGAAAAACGTACCGACAGTAAATATTGGATGTCTACGAGGTATTAAAGTATATTTAAAACAAAAAATGTGACGTCCTTCAGGTACTATTCTGTCGCCTTTCCATCTAAACAGCTTCAGAAATTTATATAAAATCGAATCTGTCTCTAAAACTTGTTTCTTGTAAACGTTGTTCTCACCAAATGAAAATACTGGAACCAGAGACGCTCTGAACATCATTAACATAACAGATTAAAGCAAAGCTATTATTTTTTATTACTCAAATAAAATCATAGACTAACCCAGTTTTTAGAGCTATCCGAATGAACCCTTTTCTTTTTTTTAAAACTATGGGAATAGGTCCAGGATAAGATTTAAATGCTTCTTCAACACCACCAACAAGTAAAATGGATGCATTACCTGTTTCTTCGCTCAATACATTTATTAAAGCTTCTTCGGAAGAATCTCTAATACCTTTACGATTTAAAAAATATATAATCAAGCCTGATTGTGGATATTTTTAGTTTAATTATGTTTACCAATAGCAATTGCAATATCACGATGAAATGGAATATAAAAGTGTATTTTCAATATATGGAGATACGTTTTTATGCCGGGGAAATATTTTTTAAAAGGACTTGCACCAACTATTAAATTACAAAAATATCCCCAACCAAGTAAACCATGTGGATGTACGACGAACAAATAGTTTTTGTCTGGAGGTATTTCATGAGTTTTTACTAAAGTAGCAGGAAAATAACATCTGAAGTAATACCATATAGTAAAATTTCTCATAAAGCTAAAACTTTAAACATAAAAACCCAATGTTATTAAAATAAATAAATAAAAATTGTAACAGTTACAATTTATATAATATAATTTTTTTAAATTAAGTATATTCAAAAGCTAATTTGTCACCAAAAATGGTTTTTAGAAATTTTTTATGATTAAAGTAGAAGAGGATATAATCTGTTATGTGCCAAAAAATTTCGAGTTAACATTACGGGGAGAGTTTGCTTTTTGTACTACAATTTTGATTTCCTGAAAAATTACTAATATGACAAATTAACTCTTGGAAAATAGTCACAGAAATTGTAATATGTGCTTATAACAACATAATGTTTAGGATGGCTAAATATATTTTTTCTTTTACCCTAAATTTTTTTCGTATAAAAATATATACAATTTTTTATAATTTTCTGGGGTCTAAGGCAAATTATGGAGGATAAAGTCCTCCCAATTCACATCTATGGCTGTAATATTATTAAAAGAGTTTTTATAGCATGTTATGTAAAACTTTTATTGGCAAATAAGAAAATATCTAGCATATATAAACCTAATTTTGAGATAGAAACTATTTTATTAACCCCTATTTTTAAGTGACAATCAAACTTTTTCTTATATTTTTGACAGAGTTATGAACATTTTAATTCCAAAATATTGATTTCTATTTTTGGAGTAAAAACAAGTTTCTCATTTTTTTTTTTTGAATTTCTATTTGTAAGACCAGAAGATCAAAACAATTAAATTTATTGTCATATTTCCGAGGGTAGCGTTAACAACTCCTGACAAAATTTATGGATCACAAATGTATAGTTTTTCGATCCTGCAATATTAAATGATATTGTGCGGTCGGTGAAATATTATTGTTTTACGTAGAATGAATGGTAATACATATAACAATTTTTAACCATTTATGTTTTTTACATATAATTTTTTCAAGAATTATTTTATAAATAATATTGTACATTTTTGAAGCGATTCAATAGTAATCAGTGAAAATTTGATTCCAACTTCATTATATTTTTGACCTTTTCCTTACTGTCTGGGTGACTACATTTATTTAAAAAATCAAACTACAACTAGCTATTTATGTTGAGGAAAAATAATATTTTTGTTAAAAATTCTTTGAATAATACAGAGTGGCCCAGCACTCACTGACAAGTTAAATAACTTTTGATCCAGTTAATATTTTTAGCTGATTTTTTTTTTAAATAATAGTTATACGTTAGGTCTATAGTATAGACCTAACGTATAACTATTATTACCTAACGTATAACAAGCCTTGATGCTTGTTTGAAGTTGAAAACTACAGATTACTCATCAGAATTGAATAAGCTGTCTGGAGAAATTCAGTGTCAAAAATCCCACTAATATTAAATAGATACGTTATTTTGTGTTTTATTGTGTTTAATTAAATAATATTATATTTGTATAAACAATAATAATAATAATAATGAATTAATGAAATAAAGTTTTTCTATATTTTCTAAATTTAAGACGTATTATTATGTTTTTATTGCCTACTAAAAAAAGGTTGTTCACACCTGTGCGGCTCCTTGGAATGGCTCTTTCCTACGAAAAGGTTCCCGACCCCTGGTCTATAGCTATATCTCAATAATAATTTTTTTACATTTTATTAAAAATATTAATTATTTTTAAATTTTAAATAAAATGAAAAAAAAAATCTAAGATAGCTATTTTGTAGAGTAGAATTTAAGAAAAAATTTTAGTAGAAAAATATCTTATTAATATTCAGTAGTAAATATTCTGTAACATTTTAAATTTTGTAAAAATTCAAATTTTTCTGTATTTATTCTACGCCGTAGAATCTACGGTATCAAACGCTGGCTATGTTTTATAAAAAAAGACAGAAGTAAACACAATCTTTTCACACTAAATATGATAATAAAATGATAAATAAAACTACTTATTCTAACTAAAATTAGAATTTATTTATGATGAGTCAACATTTTTATTATACTAAGTATAAGGTCTATTATATTTACAAACTTGGCATTAATACCATGATAAGAAATTTGATAAGGCAATTATTACTTATCACTCTCATTCAAAAGTATAAGTCGTTTTCATGGAAAAAGTTACACCCCTCCAAATTATAGTAATCATGAAAAGATAGTGTTTTCTTCTGTCATTTTCTCAATACGTATTTCAATGTTTAATACCGTAAAATAATACATGAAAATTCAAATTTTCACAAACTTTAAAATGCTATAGAGTATTTACTACTGAATATTAATAAGATATATTTTACTAAAATTTTTCTTTAATTCTACCTACAAAATAGCAATCTTAGATTTTTTTTTTACATTTTATTTAAAATTTAAAAATAAATAATATTTTTAATAAAATGTAAAAAAATTATTATTGAGTTATAGCTATAGGCCTAACGTATAACTATTATTTAAAAAAAATATCAGCTAAAAAAATTTACTGGATCAAAAGTTATTTAACTTGTCAGTGAGTGTTGGGCCACCTGTATAGTGCTCTATAATACGTATGAAATTAAAAAAATGTTTTTTAATTTAAATAATTTTTTACCTTCTTTTTTCTGAAGTTGATGATTTTCTATCGTAAAACATCCAACAAATATAAAGAAGACTTATCCAATACAAACGCGGATTATAGTAACATGTGTAATACAAAAGTATCACTGATTCTAATATACCGAAAAACATAAACAAATAAACGCATGTCGCGGCGACTAAAACTTCTAACCAACGACCAAAAGGAATAAAACTATTACATTTCATTTCACCAGCATTTAATAAAACTCGTATTAAGTAAAATTTAGTTTTGACTTCAATAAAATATTAAATTAACAATATATATATAAAGGCATTATGAAAATTTAAGTATAATTTTTTAGATCATAATAATTATATATTTTAATATTTCTAACTAGATTATTTCTTCATTAAATCATTCATTCTTAAATCATAATATGATTTAGAAAAAAAATTGTTCTATTATACAGAAATTTCCACAATATAGCCAACAACATAGGAAGGTTATTATATCTTATAATATTGTAATGTAAAAATAATAACAATTTTAATTATACATATTCTAATTCACATATATTAAATTTATTACTTTATTGTATAACTAATTATAATAAGTAAATAATAAGTGTAATTATACATATTCCAATTCACATATTTTTAATTTATTATTTTAATTAATGTAAATAAATATCTGACATAAACAATAGCGAGAACAATGTATTGTATAACCTTTATTATTTAAATTATTATAAAAGAACTTATAATGATTTCAAAATATTTCTTTCTAAAAATTGTAAATAATAATCTACAAAGTTATACTAGATTAAAAATAATGTTATTAATTAACATAATTAAAAATATTAATATCTAAATAACAGCAATGATATTTGGCAAGGTATATATTTGAATTGAAAAAAAACGTACTATTATTTTCTCAAGCTCAAATCATATTGTACCATATAAAAAAAATAGTATTTTATATTAATGAATAATTGCATTAAGTTACTTTTTTCATGCTTAAAGCCAAATATACTTAAATTTTTTAGTGAATTTATTTAACATATTTAATTGAAAAGCAATCTTATTGTAAGTATAATTAATATAGATTGAGGTGTATATTAGAATAAAAAAAAATTCATTATGAAGATACAATTTATTTTGTTCAAAAGTGGAATAACATTTTTAGCTTCGATATTAAGCTGAGAAGATATTAATTTTACTATGACGTGTTTTTTTTTTTGTGTTTGTTGCGAATTTTTCTCAACTCTCATCGGTTTGATTTCTTTCAACAATACGTCAAAATATTACAAATCGTATCTAGTCGAAGACATTATCTTCAAAAATTGAGAAAAATTCCTTCGTTTCCCTTAAATAAGGTAAATCTCCCAAAAAATTACAATTTTTCAAATCGGTAAATTTCGACATTTTTTTCTTAAAGCTGCCATCATTTTTTTTTTTTAATGAACAAATAAATATAATTTATTTGTTTATAGATACCATTTGGTAGGTAAATATTTATATTATTAAATAGGTATGATTTTTGGCTTTTTGGTAACTCCTAAAAATTAAGTTTTTAAAGAATTTTTCTTTTACTATTTTAAAGCATGCTGTATTAACTTTAATTGGATGTAGGTTTAAAGAAGACAATTTTTTCGAAACATTTTAAACATGACATACTTACAGGTTGCTATATGATATACGGCGATACATGTTTATGGTAGTTTGACTGACCGACATTGTGACCCAAACGACACAGTAAAATGTTCAGTAAATGCGGCGTACGGCCAACGACGACCCGTACCGTTTGAATCGACGTTTTTAGACGTCTTATCTGGAAAGTTCGCCCCGACAAAACGGCAACGCGCAATTTAACTATCTGTATTTTCTGGTGTTATTATTTTGTGTTATTTATTTTTAACATTTAAGCATACTCACGTGTTATTTACAACTTAATAAACGGCTCACATCAATTATTGAACTTTAAATAGTCTGTATCATCTACAATGTAGATTCTACATCGTTGTGTTTTGATACACCACCATTTCCCTCTATATATTGTATTAAAAAATTGAAAATAAAAAATGTTGATATGATTTTAAAGCGTTTCAATACTTAGGTTAAATTTGTATTTACTAAAAAAGTATGTTGTCGGAAATTTAAATGTCTTAAGTATTGTAAACAAAAATTTCATAATGATCCATCTAGTTTTCAAAAAGTTATTTCAATATAACATGAAATATTAATAAAAAAACACTTTTAATTCGTCCAGAAATTAGGAACAATTAAGAAAAACGAGATTAGTTTAACCGTCATCATGTATATTGAATTATTCATTTATTTCACTTTATTTTTGTTTCTACTATGTTTATAGACTAATATTTATTTGCACTTGGAGAGTTTAATACTTACATGTCTAGGATAATAATGTCTTATGGTATAATTGATTTTATATAACCAGTACTACGCTAATAAGAGTTAACTAATGATCAATTGCCATAAGCGTAGATTGGTCAATTTTGAAAAATAAAATGAATAAAATAAAATTTTAAATTATATTATCTAAAATAAAATTTTTCCACTCCATAAAATAATTTGTACATAACAATGCATACATAATGTTTAATTTTGCTAAATTTCTGAGTAGACTAAGCCCCTTACTCATCACTCTTATTAAACAAAAATTTAACAATAAATATGTAGATTACACAGATTGTTTCCAGATTTGTAATACAATAAATTTACATTTATAAATCGTACAAATAAATGTCAGCTTACAGTGTTAGCTTTTCTTTTAGTAGGCACTATTCCCGTGTTTCTCTAATCCAGTGTTTATTAAAATCAACCATAGCTTTACAATAACTTCATGTGCGCTTTCTATCTGATAATTTTTCTATCCGCCATTTATCATTTAGATTATTTTTAACACATACCATACTTAAAATATTGTTGCAATTGATTTTTTTGTTTTGTGAAATAAATTTGATTTTTGGCATATATCACAATATAAATATAGAACCTCTAACTGAAAATATAAATACTAAAGAGATAATTTTGTCAATAAGTGAACTTATCTGTACATAGTTTACTATAAAAAATATACTTCTTGAGAGTAAAATTTGGGTTAGAACACTTGTTAAATTTTTTTTTTGGTAATATTTCCCAATAAAACTAGAGCAATATTGTTTTAAAATATATTTTTTGAGTGTTCCGATTCAGTTTTTATAAATTCATATTATAAGTCATCCTATTAAACATATTTCTGCTGGATAAACTAATTTTTTTAGCTTTAACACAAAGTATTAAAGATATTGACTTTACTAAGATGTATTAATTTTTATAATGAAAACTAAGTAAGCCAGGGCTAAATTAAAGAAGGGCAAAAAAGTCTCCAAAAAAAGTTAATTTTTGAAATGTTTTATTTTTATGTAAACAATCATTAAAATTGAAAAAAATTATACAATTTCTTAGACACTATACACGAGGTATTTCATCTAGTCCTACTATAAAAAATATTACAGTTTTTCTCCCTCGTGAAGATGAAAAAATTAAACTCGTACATACGATATTTTATATTATAGCCATATAATAACATTTGAATTAGATCAATAAAATGTATGTGTAGTTTTTGTGGTAACATCAATAATAATTTGAATTTTAAAAAATGCAGCAGACACCGTAAATTCCATTTTACAACCTCATCGGTATATATTTTTTAAATTTTATATGGGTTAATACTACGAATTAGGATATTTATTTAAGATCCTATTTAAGAATAGTAATTTTTACTATTTAAATTTTTCCTAAAGTCGGACTTAACGAAGTCTGCGGGAGTGACAATCCCGCGGTAACTTAGTTATGTTAGGCTAAATAGGACCAAAGATTTGTAAAAAAGGTAAATAGTTACAATGAGATTTTAAAAAGAGAGAACAGTTTCTTAAAATGAAGATGGAAAGTTAATAACTTCAGAAAAGGAAATAGCTGAAAGATGAAAAAAATATTTTGAATAACTGCTAAACTGCAAGGAAACATCTGACAAATTACCCTTTAATATAGTGAAAATACTCCAGAATGTCTAAACAGGACATTGGAAGACATAAAAGCGCAGTTACAGAGATTAAAAAATCATAAATCCCCACGAGGATGGTGTACAAATAAAACTTTAAAAAAAAGAAAGGGAAGAGGTTATACAATAGATTTAGTAAGTGATTGGCAAGATATGGACAACAGAGAAACTTCTAGATTATTGGAAAGTGACAGTGTGTATGTCCAATACACAAAAAGGGTGACAAACAAGATTGCAATAACTACCGTAATATATCCTTGTTAAATGTAGCGTACAGAGTTATTTCAAACTGTGTCCTAGATCGGAAAAAAGAAAAGGCAGAGCAAAATTACGACATTTTAAAATTGGTAGATCTGCAATAGACAAAATGTTCATAGTTAGATAACTGTTTCAAAAATCAGGGATATTTGATAGAGAAGTACATACAGATTTTGTGGACTTCAGGAAAGCATACGATAGTATTTATAGGGATAGACTACTGAATATTATAAAGGAATTTCATTTTTCACATAAACTGGTTAATCTAATATTAATTAGTATTATGGAAACTTCGGTGAGAGTAAATGTGGGAAATACAATAGCTGACCTGATTACAGTAAACTCAGGATTAAGACAAGACGATTCATTATCACCAAATCAGTTTAATATGGTGTTGGGAAAGGTGATTAGAGAGATGAATATTGGACCTCAAGAAAATATAAGATTGCAAGATACAGCGATTGGTGTATGAGCTTATACAGATAATAAAATTTTGATAGAAAATTGTCCAATTTATTTTGAAGAAATATAAAATGTATTATAGTGCCTGATACGCACTATTATGATTTTAAAGCTCGATTACGGATAGCTGTTTTTTCTGAGCAAGATATCAACAGAGCTATTAGAATTGTCTGCCTTGTTTGGCGTTTGTCTAACCATTAATCTCTAGTCATTAAAAGTTGAAAAAATTCTCTTAATTTTCATAAAATTTTCAATTGAAAGATATAAATTCCAAACATGTAAGTCAAGTTAAAATAATGTTTAAAAGTTTTTCTTTTTAATAATATTTTTTCATTTGTTAATACTCGCTTTCTAATTAGTAATAATCTCAAAAATGAGGTAGTAAAAAAAATTTAATTTCAGACTTGAAATTCAATTGAAAAATTTGGTATAGTAAAGTATATATAATAATTATACTAGGTCTATGATCGTTAAAAAATATTTCATTTTAGTGAAATGGTTTTACTGTGTAATTCAATATAAAAAAATATCATATTTTTGAAATATTTGTTTAAATTCCTTGAATTAAAGGATTTTTTGCAATATTTGGTGGTTATAAGTTCAACATGATTAAAATCGTGTTCTTCTGACGTATTGGTCATTAAAATTGGTCAAGTGAGAGCTGAAAACAATGAATAACAGACACAAAATAACATAATAGTACAATTAATACTTTCTCAGCTTCACATCGAAGCTAAAAAATAAGATTTACAATTAAGCGATTAATAAGAGCGCTAATATATATTCAATACAAAACATTTTAAAAATTAATTTAGGTGTTTTAGAAAAATAGTGTCAGGAAAAGAAAATTTAACTGAAAACTACAGAAAGAAATGGAATCTGTATCAGTTCTTTGGCTTGGACACATTATACAGAGGGAATAAGATGATATAAGTAAAGTGGTTATGAATTGGAAACCTATAAGAATAAAATCTCATGGACTTTTTAAGAAAAGATGACTGAATGTTGTGGATAGTCATCTTGGAAAAATGGGAGTAAGAGATTGGAATTCATTCGTTTAGGACTATGAGAATTGGAGGCTAATTTCGCAATAACCTTGGATATTGTTATAGCGGCAAAAACTCTTAGAGAGTATTAAGAGCTAACAAAGAAAAATAATTCAGGTGTTTTATTGGTAACTTCAGTCTGATTCATTGTATTTCTTGAAATTTTAGTCTAATATTAAGTTCATTTCTTCAGGATATGTTGAATATTTGGCTTTATGTTTTTCAAATACATTTATCAATTCCGCTACATATAATTTGTGATATTTTTCAATGTCATAATTTGTTGGATTGGTTATTTTCGGAACATCAATTGGCTTACCAACTAAAAAAACAAATTCTATATTAAAATAAGAAGTAATTTATTCTTTATTATATATAAAATTAATATTGACATAAAATGTTTCACAAATATCTTTAAATATTCAACTTACAAGGGGAGGTCACGGTGATGGGGTCACTGGTTTTCATAAAATTTATATAGATTTAATCTAAGCAAGATATAAGCGCGTCTACTAAACCCTTTTTTTTTTTTATGTGTGAAGTATTGATTTGGCTGACTTATTTGCTCACAAAAAAATGTGATTATTATTATTGTAGATTTCAACGCAAAAATTGGTATACATATCAACTATTGGAAATAATAGACTGCATAGAAAGTTCAATGAAAATGAAAATAAATTGATTAAGTTTTTAGCAGCAAGAAACATTGTTAAATGCAATACGATATTTTCAGACAATAACATTCATAAACAAACTTGAATATCACCTTATGGGAGGATAAATCACTAAATAGATTACATAATAGTAGACTGTCGAATAAGATAAAGTGTAAAAAATGTTTGAAGTATAAAGGATTATAGTATGATTTCTGATATTCTTGCTAAAGACAAAGATGAAACTTATGATTTCAATAAGATAGGAAAATAAACAGAATGTCAAGAAAAAATTAACAGAGAAAGTCAACTATTGAAAGAAAATCAATCTAAGGTTATCAGGAAAAATTTTATGTATATATTTCGAATTTTTAATATGAAACAAATATAGACTCGTTATGGGAGAAAGTAGAAAATGACCGTATAAGAAGTACTGGAACATGAACTGCAGAGAAGGAAAAATCCTGTTTTTATAATTAGCATAAAAGGACATGAAAATACAGGATAAATAAAGGTTAAAAATGTTATAGGATCTAAGGAAAAAAATAAAGAAATATTAACCATAAAACAATGAATTGTTAAAACCAATAGCTATATGAATAAACAAAATAGCATAGTAAAAGAAAAAATACGTCAATAAGAAAATAGTACAAAAAATAATTTTGCTATTGCATACATCATATAAGGTATTATCAAATATTCTACTTCTTAGAATGAAACTTGATTTACACAAAAGTTATTAGAGATTAATAGCCAGGATTTATGACACAGAAGTCAACTTAGATACACTTGATTAAGCAAATAAATGAAAAAAATCACAAATATTTAAAGGGTATAAAAAATCTCCTTTTTATAAATTTTAGCGTCGATTACAATTCATTGAATAGAGTAAATTATGGAGCACAATTTGTTAATGATACTTACCTGAAAATCTTCTAAGCCTAATCCATGAATGTTTATAGGAATCAAAGTGAAAGGTGAAGTTTGAAGATGCAGTAGTGAAAGATTTCGAAGTAATGACGGAGCTAAGGCAGATGATGCTTTGTCCCCGCTTTATCTATTATAGTTTTGATATCAGTTATAAGAAAAGCCTAATAACACTTAGTGGCGTTAAAGCTGGTGAACTATAGGTAGTAGATGCATATGCAGATGGCTTATTTATAATGGCAAAAAATTTAGTTAATATAAAAAGTACTACAAAAACCTTAATGGAAAATAGAAAGAAAATTGGTTTGATAATAAACAAGAATAAAACAAAATAAATTATCGTAATTAGGAAATAGCATAGAGGGATATCTGGATATTTTGACCTAGGAGTGAACATCAACAAGGACGCAATTACCACGAAGAATTTCGGCATACATAAAGACAAGTAGCCCGGACTGGTTGACTAGCTACCTAGCATGAAGTTGAAGGTAATCGATGCTACCTGTTAAGCAAAATAGCGCATTTTTAATTGCATTAATTCACAAGAATCAAGTCAATGAAAAAGAACACATAATAATAACTTTTTTTCTAATTTCATTTTGTAAAAATTATTTTCCTAAAATAAAGTTCCTTAGTTTAGTTTTGGTTATTTACAATAGGTATGTTTGTTTTTGTTGTACAAAATAAATATAGTTTAAAAAAACTATATTTATTTTTTACTTTTTAGTTTTTTATGACATTGCTGTCACAGTCACGGAGTGTTTATTGACAATTATGACTATTAATAAGTATAATTTCTATATTGCCAGTTAGTGTGTTTATAAACTCATAACAATGTGTCTTATTACCATTGATAATAAAGGCCATATACCTGTGAATATCATCATAAAAACCAATTAGCTACTTGTATTTGTAATCCCTTATATTTTACATGTATATTAATTTTAAAAAATTTGAATCTTTAATTGTTTATATATATATATATATATTTTAATTATATATATATATATTATATACAGAGTGATTTTTTTATCATAACCCACTCAATTACTTGCAGAATAATAATAATTTAAACATTTTTTTTTTTCATTATCTTTAGTTACACATTATTCTTGAATTTTTAACTATGTAATACTTTTTAAGTTCATCCCTTATGCCTTGGAGGGGGGTCAACTTTGTTTTTTTAAATGGTAACACATATTTTTAATTTAATAAAATGTTTGAGTTTTTAATTTAATAGTAAATGGCATTTGAATTTTTAATATAACTTTATTAGCTTATTAGATATAAACATTTAAAGTTTCAAAATTTTGAGTTAATATACATGTATAATACACATGGGATTGTAAATACAGGTAGCTAATTGGATTTTTATGACATTGCTGTCTCAGTCACGGATTGTTTATTATCAATTATGATTATCAATAGATATACTTTCTGTATTGTCAGTTAGTGTATTTATAAACTCATAACAATGTGCCTTACTACAATTGATAATAACAATGCTGTGTACCTGCTAATATCGATGTTATAAAAAACCAATTAGCTACCTGTATTTGTAATCCCTTGTGTATTATACCTGTATATTAATTCAAAAATTTGAAACTTTAAATGATTATATCTAATAAACGAATTAAGTTATATTAAAAATTCAAATGCCATTTACTATTAAATTAAAAACTCAAACATTTTATTAAATTAAAAATATGTGTTACCATTTAAAAAAACAAAGTTTACCCCCCTCCAAGGCATAAGGGATGAACTTAAAAAGTATTACATAGTTAAAAATTCAAGAATAATGTGTAACTAAAGATAATAAAAAAAATAAATGTTTAAATTATTATTATTCTGCAAGTAATTGAGTGGGTTATGATAAAAAAATCACCCTGTATATATATAATTAATGACAAGCACGCGTGTATGGGTACGAAAACCAAAAATAAAATTATACAGGAAAGTATTGTTGTCGGTGAGTGGTGAGTGATGAGCGGGGTGGGATGAAGTCTTATGACCATAGACGACGGGATACGCGACAATAATAACACGTTGTATGTGGAGTGTTTTAAACAAACAACAAACAACAAGCATACATGTGAAACTAATATAAGCGTGTTAATAAATTTTGTCTTCAATAGAAAATGTATAAATGACACAAAAGTAATGATTGAAGGTCAATACGAATAAGATTTAGAGTAATTCTAAATAAAAATTAACTGCATGAGTCCGCCTGTACGCTGCTGTGATAGTCATAATTCATGTAACTGGAAATAAGTGATTAAGTATTGGTATCATCGACCCACGGGATGCCATAACCGTATTTTAACCTATATTTCCATATTCTAGTAGGCGTTGTCGGTGCACTGCAGTGATCGATACACGTCTAAGGTACTCGTGCGAGGTAAGTACCCTAGTGTTAAGTGTTGTCGGTACTTTAAGGATACAATGACGATTTGAGGGCTATCGCGCAATATTCACAGATTAAGCTACATGACATAACGCATATAGAATTACTTGTTTAACTAGCTTAGGTAGTTTATGCAGTTAGGTTATAACGAAATCTGATATATTTTACTCGAGGTAGAGCATCACATTCTGTTTATGATATTTTAAGATTACAGTACATTTACGAGTTTAATAAGGAAATATAACTTAGATTAACAGCGATAAACAGTTTTTTTTTGGATTGGTTCTGTTACGGATAGATTACTCGTCCTTCACCTAGTTCCTCTATTTAAAACAGATATATTATCTTGGAAGAAAGAAATAACATTATACAAAGTGCTATGAGTTCGGTAGCACTACATACTTGAGAAGATTGGACAACAACAAAAAACAGATAAAAATAAACTAGGTACTTATGATCAAAAGGTTCTTATTAGGATATTTGGTTCTATAAGTAATGCTCAAGAGAAATTAGAATTAAGAACAAACCATGAAATAGAAGAACTTTAAGGTGAAACAAATAGGGATATAAACCAAACACAATAAGATCAAGAAAAAGGCCTAGACAGTAATGGAAGAGAAGAATCATCAAGACGATTTGAATTTGAGATTACTTGCACTGCTTAATTTAACACACACTTACCAACTGTAACAATTGGGCATCTACGTGGCATCAGACCAAATGAATATTGTAGAAGACCTCGACCATTTGGTATAGATCTATCGTTCTTCCATTTTAATAGTCGTAAAATTTTATACCATATTGAATTCGTTGGAACATCATACTTATGATACGTATTGTTTTCTCCAAAAGAAAATACTGGTACAATTGATGCTCTACACAAAAAAAATTGTTTTTGATCCATTAAAACTAACATAGAGACGTATTTTCAAAAAAAAAAAAATCGAGGAATTTGAGAATTATCCTGCCTTATTATTCACCATTAACAAAAGGAGATCATGATGGTGGTATCACCGATTTTAATAAATGTAATATGAATCAAATTTACATTGAATACATTTAAATACTCATTATGAATTTTTTGTCAAAACAGAGAAAAATAACTGAAAATTTTAACTAGCTTAAATAACTCATTTTTATCTTGCCAAAGGTGCAACGAACTATTGACGGGTTGGTAACGCGTATGTCTTATTAGGTTTGATTTCCATTGGATAGGTTAAACTTTTTGCACTTTTTTCTTAATTTTTTTAAAAGAATTTAATATTATTATTAATATAAATACACTTTTTATAAAAATTAGTATTTCATGATTTTTTCAAAACAATTTATAACGAATATTAGTTTTTGTATATATTTTTTAGTGGTTGATTAATTATGCAAACGAAAAATTGGTGAAATCGAATATTCTTTAAAGAAATATGGGTAATCGAACTCAGTATCTTAAGCGCCTGAGGAATACGCGTTACTGATCCATCAATAGGTCACTACGCTAGAAAACGAAAAATGGGTTATTTAAGCTAGTTTAAAATATCAAAGTAGTTTTTTTCTGTTTTGAGGAATTGGCATAAATTTAAAATAAGTGTAACTTTATATTTACTGTATATTAGATTCATATAACTTTTATAAAAATGATGATCTCACCAATGCTACCTCACTTTGTAAACGTATGTAAGATTTCCATTTTTATAGGAAATAAAATTTGTACACTTTTACCCGGTTTTTAACGCTACTCGAACAAATCCTTTTCTTTTATTAACTACCAGATGTACGGGCCCTGGAAATGATTGAAAAGCTTCACTAACTCCACCGACCATTAATACTGCTACATTTCCTTTCTTTCCATCTAATATATTTATAAGGCTTTCTTCAGTAGGTTCTCTAAAACCTTTAATGAAAGTAGCATAAAATTGTACTTCACACAATAAAATTAAAGAAAAATCATGTTACCCATGCTTATGTAGAGTTCACGATGGAAAGGCATATAGAAATGCACATTTAGAATCATCATAAATGTTTGTAGTCCCGGAAAAAATTTTCGAAAAGGACTTGCATTAGTCAGAATATTGTTGAAAGCTCCAATGCAGAATGTACCATGAGGGTGTGTAGCAAATATATACGACTTATTAGCAGGGAGATCATGAGTTTTTACTAACTGTATTTTAAAATACCTTCTTACTAATACCCACAATGTCCAATTACGGATGTTTCTTATTCTGTAATAATAACTGAAACCAAAATAGAAATTTTATTACATTTTTGATGTACTATATCCAACGCTTTTACATTAAATATGAAAAACTGTTTTTTTTACATTGTTAAGAATAATCAGTTTTTGAGATTTATATATGTTTATAAAATAAAATTTTAAAATAATTAATTTATAATGTCCTATCTCAGATGTATGCGGGGACAACAGTTGAGAATGCCTGACCCAAATATTTGGGATTAAGGCGAGGAAGAAGAAGAATGTGTAAATTGAAAAAATATTTTGTTTTATTTTATAAATTTCATCAAAATATTCAGTATTTTTTCCGATATCTGAAGAATATTAATTTGATTAATGAGACCCAAGCCGTACAATTATATGCTAGTAAAACGGTTTTTTTCAATTGATATAATACTAGATTAATAAGTCAATTTAGTCACTTTTAGCATTAGGGAAACGATGTGTCGACCAGCCGCTGTCTATTTTTGAATGAGTAATCAAAATGGGAATTATAACGTTAGAAATAATAGGACAGACTCTTTAATCATTTATACTTAGGGAAAACATATAGGTGGTAATATATAACTTGTGCAATGCGAGTGACCTATCGTTTTACTAATAGTCGTTGTCGGTTCAGTGACTCATTTATACTTAGAAAAGTAGCTAGGATATAATGGTATCCATATTATTTCCTACATAAATCAATGAAAATCAATCAATCAAATGGTATTAGCTTACAAATTTTATATCAACATTTTTGAATGTTACAAATTTTTTCATCTTAGGCGTGTTTAAGCCATTTTCATAGATTATGCTTAAATGATTCAACGGAAGGTTGGAAGGAGATGCTATAGTCCTTTATCCCTTTTCATTCTTTCCCTCCCACTAAAAAAAAATATATTCATTGTTATGTAATTTTTTTTTTAAGAAAGGAGAGTACATTTTCTCCTTCTAACCATCTCGTCAATTTTTACTTAATTTTAATGATTTTGGAAATTTCGCAGTTAATACCAGAAAGAATGGGAAAACCTTTTATAGTCTAGCGCTATATATATAATTATTGCTATCTTTATTCTTCCATCAGGTACTAAATTTATTCTGATTAGATAATTCTTGACTACTAATTTACAATTAAATTTAGTATTTTTTACAACCATAGATCAATGGAAAAATGTATAATTTGTTACAAATATAAATTAGATAGTGTATAAATTATTTTTAATAAAATCATTTGAAAATCATAAATTATGGACATTTTATAGAATGTTTAACAAGTGTCTATTTAAAAAATATTCCTTGAATAAATATATAAAGCGTTAAAAATTGTATAATTTCCTGTAATAGGAAACTATTTATAATTTCTCTAATTTTTATTGTCGCTTTTATCTTAATTACATAGATTTTTTATTAAATAGATCACCTAGTGATTCATCGTGGAATAGATAAAATACCATTTAAGTGAGTTGCTAGTTTCTACTATTTCATATTAAAATGACATTACAATACAACTTAAAGAAAATATTGACAACCAAATACATTGTTAAATATTATTTATTCGTATAAAATATTGAAAAAACAAAATAACACATTATATAAATAATAATGCATCTAACATCGTATATATTAGTAAATTTATATAATCAGGTTTTTATTTTAAGTTTAACATTATTTAAATATTATTAGTAGCATGCTTATCTAGAATAAAATTATCAATAAAAGTGCAACTATATAAATTGATCTCATAACTAATTAATTAATTCTTGAACTTATTTTCAATAATAAACTCTTATTTCATAATTAAGAAAATAACTCGTTGTTAAGTACTTTTGAACCAGTATTTCAGAAGTTGTTAACAATTTAAAGTAATGATAAGGCGCGGGTGCTAATATTTTTATCACAAATTATTTTCCTGTCGGACTTTTTCTCCTATCTAGGTATATAAATGTCAATATCTTCCGAAATGCTAATCCAAAATTTGTGTGTTTGACCAGTCATTTTTTTAATTATATCATTATTTATTTAATTAGCTAGTTAATTATGTATCTTACCACGAGGAAAAATAAAGATTACACTCTTATAAGCTATAAAAATAAACATAAAAAATACTTTATGACTGATAATTTCTAAAAATAACGTGTGTCTATAAGAAATAAATAAAAAATTATAAATACTATTGTAATTTTTTTTTATTAATAAATCATGATAAAATAATTACTTTGTAACCATATCTGATTGTTATAAATTCAATACTAAAATCAGAAAATTTTCAACTTTCCAAACAACGTTATGGAATTTGAACTTTAAATAAAACTTATAAATCTATTTTTCACATAGTTTTTAACAGAACCTTTGAATTAAAACAGTCGGGAAATATAATTATATTAATAAAAAACATTTTCTTTCTTTCTTTCTTTATAATTATTAATTTTTGGATTTATTCATTCATATTTAAAGCTTTAATATGTACCTAAAATTTTATCAATAACTCCTACTTTCTACTTTCTACTTTTCCTCATACGATCATAATAAATTATTACACTATCTATATCCATGAATATAGTGTACTATATTATAGATAAACTTAATTGTCTATTTTCCATTGAAAATGTAAAACATTCAATACACAAAGAAAATATAGATTATAGTGCATTAGCCTAGGTTATTTATTACCTACAATTTGATCATAGAATTTAAGTTTATAATCGTAATATAAGTTTGTATACGCTTGTATTATCATTGCTTGCGTATGTGCTTATCATTCAAGCGTTAATGTCGATTTACTTAATGTTACTAGGTTTCATATCATGTGAAAAGGATATAATATATCATATATATATGACCATATAAAATTACATTTTTAATTGGTAAGTATTAAATAATACATACTCCAGTATATGCTAAAATACATATTGACGTTATTAAATAGTAACATTGATCCCAAAATACGTATTCCAGATTTCTTTAATGGTTTTTGCATTAAATATTTTTAATTACTTTTATTTAAAAATTAATATTTTTAATATAATTTTAACTTTAAATAATATTAACCAAAAAAGATCAATTTTTGTTATATTTAAAAATTCACAGTTATTTTTTACTATGTTTGTTAAATATTTATTTGAAAAATAAAATTAGTAAAAAAAAAAATTTCAATATTGTTACTCTTATGACATAAGTTAAGACAGCTGTCTTAACTTATGTTTGTATTAACTATTTTTATAATAAATTGTCAACAAAATATTGATATATTTAATTGTATTACCTAGGATTTCCTGAAGAAGCAATATTTCTATCAATTATCATCCAGGAAATATAAGCTAATCCAAACCACCAAAATCGAGTACACAGTATAATATATACTAAAATAATAGTTCCTGATATGCCAGTGAACAAGAACAAAGAAGTCATAATAGCTACTGAAAGGGTTTCGAGTCTTCGACTTAGTGGTATGCATAAAGGAGCAAATTCAATATCTTTTACTCCCATTTTGAAAGTAGGTTATTGGCGAAGAACTGTATACATAAACATAATAAAAATAAAAATTTAATACATTAAATTTCAAAGTATCAGAAACTTACCCTAATAATTTTTGTTCTATACTAAAAATGTAAACAATAAGCAAATATCAATAAATTATTTTGTTATTAATTTTTTATTATTTCATTCATTACTTTTTTCTGTATAATTAAATACTTCCTATATAGATACTTCAATTACCACATTGTTTAATTAAATATGAAATAGCTATAACTATAGATCATTACCAGTTATTGGTATAACAGTTGTTATAAACTGGTATCTATTAAAGAGTTTGCGCGAACTAGGTAATACTGTACTAATAAAAGCGTAAGTTTATTGTTTAAAGGTGGGAGTCATCAATTTATAGTCCCTACCTAACTTACCGTCACAAAATTAGACTTACTTAATTGCCCTTTAAATTATTAACTCATTTAATAATTTTGTGTTAATCTAATTACAAAAATGAAAAATATTTTACAAAATGATAACATCTTGATATTTTTTTAATGAATAAAATTACTTATTTATTATTAATTATACATAACTTAATTTTTCGTTAAATATGGTTGTATAATTTTTTGTATATAATCTGAGTAACATTTTTTAAGCCTTAAAAATAATAATAATAATAATAGTTTTAGAATATAGTTTATACAATTTTTCATATTTCTAGATTTATAGACTTCTAAGTCATAATTAATTTATTTTAAATTAAATGATTTTGGATTTCGTTTAAGTAGTAGAATAAATAAAAAATTTTTACTACCTCTTCCAAAACACATTTTTGCCATATATTTATTTTCATAAAAGTAGTTCTATATCCCATATCCCTCCATAAGAACGCCCATTACTTGAAGGTTACAGGGAAAAAATAAAATAATCGATCTTTTTTTAATATAAAAGTCATGTTTTTAGTTTAAAACATATTTTTTAAACATTATAAAAATTTTAATTAAGGTATAATGGTTAAGTTTGATACAGAAAAAACAAAGATACAATTTTATTTGTAGACTTTTAAACATTCTTTTTTCAAAAATCGAAAAATTGATTTTTTTGGCTTTTTTGTTTACGTATTACAAGTTTAACACTTGAATCAATTAAATATCCATATGAGATAAATTTTAACTCCTATGGATGGTCAAAACTTTTAAGTAGATTATCTCAAAGAAGCATTTTTAGAGGTACAGCCTAACAGTACTGGAAGTACGATAATTTGAAACTGAATACTAATGAAAAAATGTTTTTGTGTTCTTACTTAATAGAATATATTTACGAAAGTCAAATAACATTAAATATTGTAAATAAATAATGGAATTAAGCACACCACATATTTTTTTTTTTTAGTTTATATTTATGATTAGCGTCTTAACTTAAAAACTATTGATTGTCCCGGAAAAAACGTAACTCCAGCACAAATAATATAAGGTAGGCGACCTAACAATAAAATAAACACATTTATATCATACCACGTACTACTGACACTATTTTCTATATCTGCACCACATAGAGGTGTATGTGATAACACTGTAACCATTTGGGCTGTTATAATATTTTCTAATTGTTGCTAAATAAAAAAGTCAAAAAATGAACTAAAGTTAATTACAACTTAAATTGTCAGGAATGATAAATTTTAAGAAAAATATGTTGTTATACATCATAAATAACTCTAAGAATCAATAGTAGCATATATAAAAAAAATTAGAAAAATTCAATTTTTAAAATAGTTGAGGTTGGTCAATTTTTTATAACATTCATCATCAATCATTTCTAAATAAATTATTATCTATTTTTATTACTACTATCATTATTATTTTTAAATTATTTATTAAACAAGGTAAATAACACTTTAAATAATTATTAAAATACTCGAAAATATTGTAATAATACATACTTTTTTCTTTTACAGGACCGTCAAAGAAAATTACTGCAAAATTAAAATACTAGAATATCAGATAATTTATAATTTTCAACTAGGTTACATTAATTAATCATTATACAATCATATTTATTTATGCTTACAATTATTGCTGTGTAATTGATTTATTATGCGTAGTGATTTAACCTTGAGGATTTGTAATTAGATAAATAAATAAAAACGAAACTATAAAAAACACATATGCCAATTGCTTATGTTTATGTATTTATTATGTTATTTTATTGATTAATGTCTTTATCCAAATTTAATGTTTTATTAATAATTAATAATCTAAGTAAAATTAATGCAAATAAAATATTCTTAACAAGAATAAGATATTTAAAATATAGAATAGAAATGAAAATAGTAAAATTATTTATAGAATTGTATTTAAGTTGTAAATATTTTTTATTTTTTAACTTTTGTCGATTGATGTATAAAATTTCCTTGCTGACGAAGGTAGAATTTTCTGATTTCAATTAAAAAATATTCCAAACTGATAGGGTTAACATTTTTAAGTTTATTAAATATAATCGCTGATTTAATTAAATTCAAGATAAAATTTCTCATTATTCCTGATAACAAACTAGTTGTTAACATTAATTGTATATTAGCTTCGATGCGAAGCTGAGAAGGTATTGGTTTTACTATGATGTGTTTTTTTTTTTTTTTTGTCTGTTACCAATTTTTCTCAGCTCTCACCGAACGGATTTCTTTCAACGATACATCAAAAGATTACAAATCGTATTTAGTCGAAGACATTACCCTTAAAAATTGAAAAAATTTCCCTCGTTCCCCGTAAATGGGGGAAACCTCCAAAAAAATTACAAATTTAAAAATCGCTAATTTTCGAAATTTTTTCAATTTTTTTTACTAAAAACTGCCGTAACTTTTTCAAAAATGAACATATCAATATAATTTTTTTTTATATAGATGCTTGATGTCTTTACCTATCATTTTATATATTTTTTTTGTAAATTTAACCTTTTTTCTGCCCACAGGGGGGGATTTAAAATGACAACTTTTTCACAAAAAATTAACTTTTTCAACTTAACTTTTGAAAATGTTCCGGAAGGTCTGACACTTTTATATATATCTTAAATTAAAGCTAATGTAATGTACTTTAATTTGAAAAAAAAAAATTTGACCTCTGGACTTGTCTTCATGGTGAAAACGGCTACCGAATGCTATTTTTGTGTGAAAATTTTCGATTTTATAATTTACATTTTTTACTTTAAAGTGCTATAACTTTTTAAAAAATGTATGGATCAATACAATTTTTTCATGAGAAGTAGTATTTATATACATCTTTCATTGGATATACTTTTTTTTTAAATCAGACTATTTCCCTGTCCACAGAGGGAGATTTAAAATGACAATTTTTTCACAAAAAATTAACTTTTTCAACTTAACTTTTGAAAATGTTCCGGAAGGTCTGACACTTTTATATATATCTTAAATTAAAGCTTATGTAATATACTTTAATTTGAAAAAAAAAAATTTGACCTCTGGACTTGTCTTCGTGGTGAAAGTTGACATCAAAGTTAATAAAAAATTACGATTTTTGTAAAATAATTTTTTTTAATATTTTTAACTTAATAATGCTCTAACTTTTTCAAAAATGAATGTCGTAACACAGGAAAGAAAAAATGATAAAAGGAAAATGGGTAAATGTGAAACTATGTGTACGAAGATGAATATGAGGAGGTGGTGCCTGCTGTCTAGGTATTCACGTGCGTGTTGTCGTACAGCAGTCACCGTGCTCGGCTGACACTCCGGGTTAGCTGTGGGTGTCGAAAGGCTGTTGTTATAGGAAGGGAGAATAAGAGTAACACCTAGGTATGAGGTGCAGACGAAGTGCAAGACACAAATACCAGGTGTACGCAAAAGGAGCCCAAAGTATGAGGTGCAGACGAAGTGCAAGACACAAATACTTGGGGTATAGGAGAGGACAATGAAGTACGAGGTGCAGACGAAGTGCAAGACACAAGTACTCCAAAGAGAGAACGGGGTAGCCGAGTATAAGGTGCAGACGAAGTGCAAGACACAAATACTGGGCGTACCAGACAAGGAGTATAACAAAGCACGAGGTGCAGACGAAGTGCAAGACACAAGTACTTTAGTTATTAGGAGAGGATAATGAAGTACGAGGTGCAGACGAAGTGCAAGACACAAGTACTCTGAAATGTCGAGGAAAAGAGTATATAGGTTAGAAAAGGAATAAACAAAGACTTTACTTTAAACAGTAAGCCGGACAGCGACAACCGAGTACTGAGACTGATGAATGACACAAGGCACTGTAGTCGACTGACGCCGATGGTCAGGTCTATTGGGTTTTTATAATAATTACACCTATTGCCGATTTGGCAATAAATATTATTTGTTAATTCACCAATCTCAGGCAGCGGATGTGCTGTCTGTATTTTATTAAAATAATTCTCACGATTATGAAAACGTGACACCATCACA